CAGTTGATGGATTTTTCTGTACACACATCCTCAAGCAATTTTTTGACAGATATTTTTACTGAATTGACTTTCTTTTTAAGATGACATGTCTAATAAGAAAGGCAATGAGCTTTTCAAAGGCATAATTCAAATGCTACAACTTCCTCGGGATGCGGCCATGGTCAAAGTTCCTTTCCCTCTGTTAGAGTAGTGATGCTCATCTAATGAGGTCAGCGCGGAGCTGAGACTTCACAGGCAGACAGACACTGCAGGTGCTTGGTTACCTGGAAGTTACAGGCAGGCAGGGGTAGTAATTACTCCAACGGGATTTCATCACTGATGTTGGCGCGGGGAGACAAAGGAATCTAATCTGACATTTAGTCACGGAGGACTAGGCAGATGCTGGTGGGGTTTGGTACAGGGGGTCATAAAAGGGCTTGTGGAAGGGACGTCTTTTCTAATGCACACTCAGACGCCGTGGGGCTGGTTGTGACCCTGCGTGTCAACTCCAAAGTTCTCGCCCCTCCACTCGGCCTCACCAAGAGCCCATGGTACTGGAGAAAACTCTAATTCAGAAAGATACATGCACCCCAGTGTTCACAGCAGCACTATTTACAACAGCCAAGACAAGGAAGCAACCTAAATGTCCACTGACAGATGACTGGATACAGAAGTTGTGGTATATTTATACAATGGAATATTGCTCAATGATAAAAAAGAAAGAAAGAAAGAAAGAAAAGAATAAAATAATGCCATTTACAGAAACATGAATGGACCTAGAGATTATCATACTAAGTGAAGTAAGTCAGAGAAAGACAAATAGCGTGTGATATCACTTATATCCAGAATCTTAAAAAATTACACATATGAACTTATTTACAAAAGAGAAATGTAATCACAGACATAGAAAACAAATTTTTGGTTACCAAAGGGGAAAGCTGGGGGGAGGGGATAAATCAGGAGTTTGGGTTTAACATATACACAATACTATACCTAAAATAGATTAAAAAACAAGGTCCTACTGTATAGCACAGGGAACTATGTTCAACTTCTTGTAATAACCTATAATGGAAAAGAATCTGAAAAAAAATTATATATATATATATATATATCACTTTGTTGTACACCTGAAACTAACACAACATTGTGAATTAACTATACTTCAATTTTTAAAAAGTATTTGAAATTGTTGAATAAATTTTGGAGCATTAGAACTGGAAGGTATATAAAATATATCAGATAATCTAGCTGGATCATTGATTATGATATATTTTACCTAGAAAACATATAAGTCACAATGCAGATTTTAATAATTAACTATCTGTGCTAGAAAGAAATGGCCAGTATATCACCAAACCTAACATTCCATCATGCATCTGTATAAATTACTGAGTATCTCCAGGAATGGAAGTTTTAATAAATTATGTTCAAGGACACCATGCAGGTATCCTTATAGGAAATAAAAACATTTAAGATAAATGAAAAAAAGAGTCACGGTACCCAAAAATCACGAGTTCAAATCCTGCCTTGATGGGGGTCAGGGATAAATGACCTCAAGCTGCCAAATGCGTAGGCTCCTCCCAGGTCAAGTTGTAACACGTAGGAACAGGTAGGATTTTGCTGATAACTGGAGTGCCCAGAGCATCAGTCTCCACAGTGAGGACCCACATCAGAAGGCAAATCCAGGTCGGGTTTCCCGCTGAACATGGAATCATCCCTGGGGAGTCAGTTGGAGGTGATGTTTACAGCTAACGACATTGAGCTGCCCCTCCTCAGGGATCCACCTTCCTGGAAGACCGCAGGGCAGTGGCCTTAACACCCTCCTCCCAGCAATGGTGCATGAATATTGCAAATTTACCTTCCGTGATGACTCTGAGTTTGTCTTCCTTACACTGACGTTCTTTTCTCTTTCTTTCAAATGTTTTTATTATGAAATAGCTCATGCATATAAAAAAGCACAGAAGGAAACATAATGACTACTTTTATACCAGTCATTTTGTCAAAGGCATAAACATGTCAGACACAGAACGCATTCAGCTTAGTCTCCACTCTGGTCCTGCCCCTCCCTCCCAGCCCGCAGGTCACCCCTGTGCTGAACTTGGGGTGCACCCTTTCCTCATATATTTTGATTTTACTGCATGTATATGTATCCTCTAAGTATCAAGAATTGTTTTGCCTGTTTTTAAACATTATATTAATAGTATCATACCAATCATACCTTTATGCTACTGAATTTTTTATTGACATATAGTTGATTTACAATATTGTGTTAGTTTCAGGTGTACAGCAAAGTGATTCAGTTATACACATATATACTTTTATATTGTTTTTCATCATAGGTTATTACAAGATATTGAATATGGTTCCCTCTGCTATACAGTAGGTCCTTGTTTATCTTATATATAGTAGTATGTATATGTTAATCCCAAACTCCTAATTTATCCGTGCCCCTCCCTTTCCCCTTTGGTAGCCATAACTTTGTTTTCTATGTCTGTGAGTCTCTTTTTTGTTTTGTAACTAAATTTCTGTCATTTTTTTTAGATTCCACATATAAGTGATATCATATATTTATTTTTCACTTAGTATGATAATCTGTAGGTCCATCCATGTTGCTGCAAATGGCATTATTTCATTCTTCTTTATGGTTAATGATCCATTGTGTATACATATACACCACATCTTTATCCAGTTATCTGCCAATGGACATTTAGGTCGCTTCCATATCTTGGCTACTGTAAATAGTGCTGCTATGAACATCGGGGCACATGTATCTTTTGGAATTAGAGTTTTCTCTGAATATATGCCCAGGAGTGGGATTGCTGGACCATAGGGTAACTCTATTTTTAGTTTTTTAAGGAATCTCCATACTGTTTTCCATAGTGTCTGCATCAAATTATCTTCCCACCAACAGTATAGGAGGGTTCCCTTTTCTCCACACCCTCTCCAACATTTATTGTTTGTGGACTTTTTAACGATGGCCATTCTGACGGGTGTGAGGTGATACTTCATTGTGGTTTCAACCTGCATTTCTCTAATAATTACATGCGACTTACTTCTTAATTCGACATTATCTTGGGGACTTACACATGCTGACACCATGTTGCTCTGGCCCATCCATTCTTCACTCCTGTGTGGTCTTCCATGTAAGGATAGTCCATAATTTATCTATTCCTACTCCTAACTGATGTTTTCCCAATTACAAGCCCTGTTACAGTAGACATTTCTGAGCATGTCTCCTTACACATGTGGGGAGGGGATCTCTGGACACACACAAGGAGCAGCATCGCCAGGCCCTAAGGAATGTGCACGTTCAGCCCGAGTCAATGTTGTCAGTTGTTCTTCGGTCTGGCTTTACCAATTTACTCTCCCACCTCGTGTATGTGAGTTCCCTTTCTTTCTCATCTTGCCCACCCTTGCCAATCTGATGAACGGGAAATGGTATCTCATTATAATTTTAAGTTGTACTGCTCTTATTCTAGCCCAGAGATCTTGACACTTGTCTGTTGCACACTCTGGTTCCTCCGCTGTGAATTGCATTGGCATTAAGGTAATAAATTTTCCTTGCTGCCTAAGCTGGTTGAGCCCGGATGATTGACTACTTGTGGGTCGGAGCTGCCTGGCTGGAATACCCATCCCTGATGCTGTGGGCTCTTCCTGTTTACAGCCAAGAGATGATCCATCTTTAAGATCACTCCTCAGAAGCTCTGAATCCAGCATGACGGTGCTGACTTTTCTGAGCTCTGATGATGCCCCATGTCCACCCCAAAACACCACCTCTGGACCACTTAATTCTTCCCAGTGTTATTGTGATTCCCTCTATCTCTTTGGCAGGGCCTGAAACCCACAGGCTGGGGCCCTAGGGCTGTACTAATGTGCTTAGAACAGGGGAAAGTTAATAGCAACCAGAACTGGCATTCACATGCAGTCATCTCACACAGGGTCGTTTGTCAATGTGCACAAAGACCCAGCAGAAGATGCTTGTCACGGTGTCATTTATAAGAGCAAAGGACAAGCAAGCAACCACTTAAATATCTCTAAATGTCCAACATCGGGGTCTGACTAAGTAAGGAATGATGCCTCCCTCCACGGAATGTCCTTTGAAGCCATCCGGAGTCACGCTGCAGAAGAGAACACAAAGTCAGGGAATGTCGTTCAGGAGTCTTAACTCGGGTCCACGGACTCCTGAGGGGAGGCTCCCGGAAGGGAGCTGGCGTCACCTGAGATGGTTACGTAAGCACCACGGACCCCACTCCTGCCCACTGGAAGCGGGACTTGCAGCTGGGAGGGCAGGAGCTCTAACAAGCTCCCTCTGTGAGTCTAACACATACTAACGTGTGGGAACCAATGACCTGGAGACCCTGACGTCGTTAAGAAGCATGCTGGTGTGTTCAGGGGGAAAAAAAGCATGTTACATGCAAATTCAGTATTTGTAGAAACAATCTCATTTGTGTGTGCGCCTGTGTGTCTGTCTGTGTGCGTACTAATAGGTACCCTGGTACCAAAAAATTAACAATTACCTCTAGATGGTGATTTCTCAGCCTCAGCACTACTGACAGTTGGGGCTCGATAATTCTTTGCGGTGGAGAAGATCAGGTGGTTAGAGACTGTTCAGCAGTTTCTCTGGCCTCTACCCATTCGATGCCAGTAACGCCCCCTAGTGGTAACAATCAAAAATGTCTCCAGATGTTGGCAAAAGTCCCCTGGAAAACAAGACGGCTTCCCTTCAGCCTTGAGAACCACAGCCCTAGATGGAAGGTATGGTAGATGATGTTTTACTTTGTTTTCAGTCTGTCTGCCCATTTCTTAGCTTTTTACCTAAAATGAACATAAAGTATTTTAGTCATTAAAAAAATGGTGTGTCTTAATGCCCCATTGCCTCTGCTGTCAAAAAAATACATGCAGATGATAAGATGTTCACGTTAGAATTTACAGGAAGTAAACTAATTTTATTATGACTTTTAAATAACTAAGAAAAAGCATATACAAAGCCATTCCAAATGTCAATATTCCTTCGGAGGCTTTAAAATATTTCTAACCTTTGGACAGACCTCCTGATTTTAAGTCTAGATCTTAGAGAAGCAATTCTACATATAAAAATTGCCTTATATATATGGTTGATTTTTGCAGTCACTTATAAAAACAGAAAAATTACACTTTAAAACCAACAACAGGAAACTAATTATGGTACTTGATAGACTATAATATAGTATTAAAATGATATTTACAAAGAGTTTATATCAGTGTGGGGGAAAGGTTTATGCCATATTGTTAAGTAAGGGGAAAATGCATACAGAATTCCACATGTTGCATCGTCGCTGGCACATATAACAATAACAACATAAAAAGAATCCTGTGCACCCATGTGGCTAAAAGAAACACACCAAGATTTTTTTTAAAAAATGACTGTCAAGACCCTTATCTTTAATTTTGTATCTGTATGAGATGATGATGGTCACTAAACTTATTATGATAATCATTTCATGATGTATGTAGGTCAAACCATTATGCTGTCCACCTTAAGCTTATGCAGTGTGGTACATCAATTAAATCTCAGTAAAACTGGAAGAAAAAAATGATGGTCAATTGAACAGTGACATCCTAGGTGATTTTCCTCTCTTTACTGGTCTGAAATGTCCAAATTGTCTAAAATAATATGTATATGTTTATAGTGAGAGAAAGACAGCAAAATGTATTTTTTTAGAAACTTAAAAATGATTACAAATGAAAATGTGCCACAGTTTCAGGTGAGAAACATGTCTTTATATTGCTCTAGACACAAATTTCCTTCCGAATGATAAAAACCACCTTGTTCAAAAAGTTAAACATATTCAGAAAGTACAGCATAAACTATATGTGATTGTAACCACATTTATCAGCTCAGGGAAGGATAAAACGTAAGGGAGATTATATGATGTAGATGGTCAGGAAAGGGTTGAATATCATAACAGGAGAACAGAAAACGATGTTTATGAAAAATAAACTGGATATGCTTTTTCTTCCAATCTAGGCTCACATGCTTCTAAAAGAGAAGATCTCACTTAGGAGAGAAAGTAAGTTGGGTTTGACTGGAACTGACTAACCAAGGACAGACTTCAGCCACCTCACTGATTTTAATCTGAAGTGTTTACATCCACCCGGGGTGACGGGCCACTCCAGCTCATGGGAAAAACAGTTATCACAGACAAAAGGCAGCCCTTCTCACATTTGTATGGCAGTATTTGCCCGACCTCCTGGATCCCAGGTGGCTCCACTGAATTCTCTCGCGAGCTCCCTGCTCCGTCTTTGATGTGGACACAGATTATATCTTACAATAGACCTCAAAGAGGGAGGCAGCTGCATGCATCCGGTAGAAAATAGAAAAGGGCATGGCCAGGTTGACCACAATTATCCAGGGTTCAAAGCCAAAGACAATTTCCTCCAATCCGTTGTCGTACTCAGGGCGGCAGCCGAAGGCGGGTGGGATCCAGAGCTGCAAGAGAAGGAGAGTGGGTCCCAGCAGCCACCTGGGACCCCACACCAACCCAGGCACCGACCTGGGCTCGGGGAGACTGAGTCACACTTGTACAGAGGTCAGCAGTCCCTGCGCCAAGTTCCCCATCTCCATGGAGCCCATCAGCCCATTGAGCCCCACTCCTGTACAAACGCTCTACCTGGTTCTCTCCATCCTCGCAGCCCTCACCTTGGTCCAGTCCTTGGTCTCCCCCGGACTGCTGCAACACCTCCCATGTCCCCCCTACTCCAGTGAGCACCTTCACTCCACCCCCATGTGGCTGCAGGGGTGTTCTTTATAAAGCACACATCTGACCTGTCACTCCTCTGCTGGTCACTCACCAGGGCTCCAGTTGCCCTCAGGAGAAAGTCCAAATTCCCTCAGTGACCAGACCCCCGTCCACGTCCCTCATCATGCCCTTCACCCTGGCCTCCCCAGGCTGCGCTCAGCCCCCAAGTGTGCCTTTCTCTCCCCAGTCTTCAGGGCTTTGCTCCAGCCTGTTCCTCTATCAGGAGCCCCTGTCTTCCTTTTGCTAAGTACTACTTTCTTCCAAGTCCTGAGACACCTCCCCTTCCAAGAAGCCCTCCTTGATCTAACCAGGCAGAGGGGGAACTCCCTCTGTGTTCCCACAGCCCCCAGTGTTTTCCTCCAGTGGGGGTCCCCCGTTTCCCATCCCCACATTTACATACCAGCACAGGTGCTTGGAGAGCCCCGCCACGTGGGTCTGGGCTGGTGAGTTCTGTGGTCTTTTCTCTGGCTTGTCTTGGCTTAGAGAGGCAGCTCAGGCCCTGCCCACATCCCCCGAATCAGGGGGAGAAGCACATGCCTTGGAGCCAGCCCTGGGTTCATGCCACTGATAGACTGTAATTGAACCTCTCCAAGCCTCGGTTTCCTCATCTTTAAGATGGGGGTACTGACACCTGTCTCAGAGGGCTCAGATGAGAATAAAATGGCAACTAAGTTTGCAGAACATAAAGCAATAACCTATTATTTTTGTTGCTCGTGGAACCTACTCATTGGTCCTGTCCCAGCTCCTCCTTCCCCACTCCCCTTAAACTTCTGGGCTTCGAGGCCAGCCTCTCTGTCACACTGACACTTCTGCAACTTGCTCCAGCCCCACGCTGCAGCAGGCAGCCTCTCAGGTGACCCCCAGTGGTCCCACCTCCTGGGAATCATGTCCTGTGGAGCCTCCTCCCCTCAAGTTGGGCTGAACCTAGCAACTCACTTCTAACCAACAGAACATGACAAGAGTCCCATGGCACCTCTGAGATGTGGTGACAGAAGGGCTCCGGAGTCCTTCTCACTCATTCCATCTCTCAAGGGAGGAAGCAGCTGCCACTCTGTGAGCTGTCCCGTGGAGATTCCATGTGGCCAGAAACTGAGGGAGGTCTCAGGCCCGCAGCCAGCAGCGAACTCAAACCCTTGGCCCAACAACCCACTGGGAACTGAATCCTGCCAACAGCTGCATAAGCAGATTTGAAAACAGATCCCCTCCCCTCAACTGTCAAGCCACACTTGGATTCCTGACCCAGAGAAACCGTGAAATGATAAATGTCTGTTGTTTTAAGTTGCTGTGTTTGGGGGTCATTTCTTACACAGCAAGAGGTAACTGATACACGTGGCTATCATTGACATCTCCATACAGAACCTTCCAGGGCTTATATCTCCAGCCCACAGTGTTCTCTTGGTTCTGCGTCCTTAGGTGTCCTCCTACAACGCCAGCTGGTCCTTCTTGCTCTCCTTGGCTACCTCCCCCTCATTTGCTCAGTCTCTCAAGGTTGGCTGGTCCCTGTGCTCATTCATTCCTGAGTCCTCTCCCTCCCTATACCCATGACCCCTGATGATCTCACGTGGTCCTGGTTGTAAATACCAGCTATCAACCTGTGACTTCCAGATCCAAATCACTAGCCTGGAGAATTCCAGACTCCTACAGCCCACGGGCTACTTGGTGGTCTAAAACACATCTCAGACTCAATGTTCCTTCCCCACTTCCCCCCATCTCATCAGCAACATCTTCCTCCCACTCGCTCAGTGAAAACTCTATGCATCATCCTGGCCTTCCCGCTTACTCTCAGAACCATCCACCTGCCATCCCATCCATCTGTGAGTCTTGATGACCGCACCTCCAAAATGACATCCTCAACCCACCCATCACTCTACTCCACTTGTGCAGGCCACCACTCCCTCTCTCACCTGGACCGATGCAGCGGCCCATGTTTACACTCAACTCCACTGTCCATTCACCACTCAGAGCCAGATTAATTTCTTCCGTAAATAAGATCGTGTCCCTTCCCTGGTTAAACAGCTACAGTCTTCACTTAAAATAAAATCTGCCCCTACAGGGGGCAGCCCTCTGTGAGCTGATCCCTTCCCACTCCCAACCCACCCCCAGGATCATCTCCCACCCACCCAGCCCAGTCACATGCCTTTCCCCTCTTCTCAAAGGAGGCAAGCTCATCTCACCTGCAGTTTTGCACCGGCTGCCCTCTCTGCCTGGAGTACTTGCGGCCCCTCCTGACATCCAGCCCTGGGCTCTAATGTGACCCCTGAAGAGCCTTTCTCACCAGCTCAACCTTCTGATCTACAAGGGCCGCCCAAGCACTGTCTGCACACCCTCCTTTCCTAGGTGCCTGCAGGACACGAGTCACTCTGGGAAGTCTCTCTTGTCTGTTTATTGCCATCTGGTTTGTCAGCCCCGCAGGAGGAAGACCAGAGATCAGTCACACCACCACCACTCACACCACTCACACCAGTGCCTGGCCCTCAGTGGGCACGCAGTGGTGGCTGTATTTTCAGAAAGGGAGAGAGGGAGGGAAAATGGGAAGGAAGGAAGAAGAAAGTGTGCACCTCTTTCCTGAAATCCAGACCTTTCCATCTGCGGTTATGTTGACTGTAATTCTTGCTATTCATCCCCTTGGGAGAGGGCCCATCTGTGTCCCTTTCCCTTGAACCTGGATGGACACTGTCACTGCGAGACCCATAAAAATGGCAGAAATCGTGCCATTTCCACACCCAAGCCTTAAGAGACAGGCACGTCCAATCCCTTGGAAGCTTGGCTCTGGGGCCCTGAGCCCCCAGCTGAGAAGGCCACCTGCCCCGAGACCCCCAGGCTGAAGCAGACTCTGCAGCTGAGCGTCCCGGCCGAGGCCAGCCTTCCAGTCTGCCCAGCCCGAGGCATCAGCTCTTGGACTTTCCGACCCAGCCAGCCCCTCCTCCAGCTTCAGTCACTGCCACGAGGGACAGAACTGTCCAGCCAAGCCCTGCCAGAATTCCGAACCCACAAGGTCATGACACTTAGTAAAATGGATGCTATTTTTGTCATCCATTTGGGGTCGCTGGTTACACGGCAAGAGAAAACCAAAAAAAAAAAAAACCCGCCTGTTGGTTATGTCCTTTCGGATGTCTTCGAGACACCACTGAACGTCCCTGCCACCTGCGCCCCCTCTCAAGCCGGCTCCCCCTCCAAGGCCCCCAGTCTCCGGAAACGGCATCCCCATCTACCCAGGAACTCGAGTCAGAACCTGCAGGTCACCTCTAGTATCCCTGTCCCTTCCCACGCTACACCGTGGATGGACCTGGCGGTCCTCATGCTGCGTGAGACAAATCCTGCATGATTCCACTTAGATGAGGGACCTAGAGAGTCAGACTCACAGAGAAAAAGAGGAGAATGGCGTTCGCCAGGGGCTGCAGTGGAGGGAAGGGAGAGCTGCTTTGTGAGTACAAGGTTTCAGCCTCTCGAGGTGAAGAAAATTTTAGAGGTTGGTGGTGGTAATGGTTGCACAATCGTGTGAATGTTATGTGTTTCCTACCACAATTAAAATTTTAATTTAATTTAATTTAAAAGGAAAAAAACCCATGAATCAGATCCTGTCACTCCTGGCGTAAAATCCTTCCATGGTTTTCTGTTGTGTTTAGGGCTAAGCCCAGGTTAATGGCTGTGGCTTACGAGGCCCTGGGTGGTCTGCCCTGACGCCTCTCACGCCTCTGTCCCCTGCTCTCTGAATTCTAGCCACGTGGGTTGCTTTCCGGGACCTTGGGCACATCCAGCTAGCCCTGCCCTGCCCTGCATCCATGCGGTCCCCATGCCCCTGGCTCTGCCCAGACTGCCCCCACCCCACCAGCCACCCTCCCCCCAGAGGAGGCCTTCCCTGACCCCCGAGGTCCCCACAGCACCGAACCTCCTCCATCATCACATCCACCTCTCTTTACTGTCCACTCCGCAGCTGCCTATTTCCCCACGCGGACACGCACACCAGCCCCTCCTGCTGCAGCCTCCGTGCCAGCCCCCAGGTCCTGGGGAACAACCCCTGCCCCTGCCAGGTGCCTCTGGGACAACAGAGAACCAATCACGGAGTTTCAAAGTGCTGCCCATGGGGCTGGCTCGGGTCATCCTAAGACATCAGCCTGCAATGATTTCCACCCTCTGGCTCACTCCTCAGTGAATGGAGGCAGTGCCTGGGGCCACCAGGGGTGGAGCCCAAAGATGAAGGGACAAAACGCAGCCTCCTCCTGGTCCAGAGCCCTGAACGCGGCCTTCGGGTCCCAGCCGACCATCAATCAGTCAGCACTTGATTCCAGTACTGCAGGCAGTGCTGTCCTAGCTCAAGCTGGTCCAAAAGAGCAAGCCAAGCACGCCGCCTGGTGGTGCAGCCAAGATGCAGCTCAGAGAATGAGGCTTTTCTGAACTCACTGAAAAGACGGATCTTCATACCTCGCGGTGTGTGAAAAACAGTAAGCTTTAGGGCCATTCTAGAACCAGCTCGGACTTTATAAGAGTCTGAGCTGATACCCGCCCCCCTCTGGGATATAAGCCCCTCAGCACGTGCAGCCCCGCCCTAGTCACTGACCTCCGTCTCTCTCTTGTCTCCCTGTTTGACTCCTTTGTTCACTGCTGTGCCCACAATGGTCCTAGCATACAGCGGGTGCTCCATAAATGTCTTTAAGACAGAAGAAGGGGGCCCACTGCAGCCAAACTCTTCTGGGACCCCTTCTCCCTTCAGAGCACCTCATACCTGTCTGCTGACCTGGAGGGGGACCGAGGTCCCAGTGACCCAAAGCAAGAATCGGATTTGATTGGCAGACACACAGCTATTTCAGCTTCAGATGCCCCCCGCCCCCGATGTCATGACTTTAGGATGCTATCAAAAGCTGCAGCCCCTGGGCATGTGCCGACTGAAATGGGAGAGGGGAGGTAAAAGCCAGCGAGCTCGTGGGGAAACAGAGCAGCCCTGATGAGACGGAGGTGGGTAGCAGAGAGGCGACTGTGATAATCGGCCAGCTCTGTGAGCGGGCGTCCCCACAGTCACTGCAGAGGCCTGTGTGGTGCCAAAGGCTGGGTCTCCCTCACTCTTACCAAGCCCTGCCATCCCTCTCTGTCCTTCTGGAGCAAACCCAACCACACACAAAGCTTTCTACTTCTCTTCCTTTTCTCCATCCCCCCCGCCACTGCCTGGTGCGGGTTCATTCCCGTCATTTCCTGTCTGGGCAGCTGCAGGGCTTCTGTTCCAGGTTCCCTGACCTTGGTCTTAGTTCTCTCCATCCTTTCCACATGCTGCTGCCAAGGGATCATTCCAAACACAAATCCCAGACGGTCCTCTACTGTCCTCACCATGAAGACCAGACTCAGCCAGGCTTACCAAGCTCTGCTCAAGCCGGACCTGCCATCCTATCCCCACTCTGCTTCTCTGCTTCACGTGTACAGGATTCGCGCTAAGCTCCTGATGCTCGCCCGACAGGCCGCAGTGTCCTTTGCCTCTGTGTCTTTGCACACCATGTGCCCTCTACCCCAAACTGCCCCAAGGCTTGTCCTGGCCTTGACCACGGTTGGTAAACTTCCCACCATTCCTTGAGGCTGAGGCAGACGGTACTGAGACCGTTCATCTTCTCCCTTGTTACTTTCCATCTTAGAGGCTAGAAAGCAAACCATCCACTTCTCCACCCTCCCTTGTAGTCAGGGATGGTCACATCACAGACATTGCCTAGCACTAGTCCTTCCCTCCTTCTTCTTGTCTTGAACCTAGATGTGATGCCTGGTGCCACTGCAGCCATCCTATGACCATTTGGCAGTGTGCACCACATCAACCAAGGTCGAGGGCAAAGGTGAACAGTGCCTGGATCCTTTATGATAGGGTTCAGCTGCCAGGCCAACCCTGAGCAGCCTACCTCCAGAATTCTTGTCTTTAAGACTGAGGACACTGCGGGTCAAGCTTTCTATAATTTGCAGCCAAAAGCACTGCAAATTGAGACCCAGTCTCACTTCAAGCATTCCCTACTCATTGAAATTCGTCCTGAAGCCGTGCTCCCATGACACCTTGCACATGACCCTGTCCCAGCACTGGCCACACTCACTGCATTATATTTTTTCCTTGTTTTCCTCTCCCACTAATGCTGTGACCTTTTTGGGGAAAAAGACTGAGTCCTCCCACTTTTCATTCTTCGTTCCCAGCCCAGCCTCTGGCACACAGCAAATACTCGGTAAACGGATCTGCAGACTATGAGCCTAGGTTTCTATTTTCTCCTTACATTGAATGATTTTGATTACAAGCTGCCTCGATTCCTTATCTGAAAGAGGCAAAGAAAATAGCTTAATTGATTTTTTTTAAATAAAGAAATAACTTGAGGAAGATTACCGAAATATTGCAGAGGAACAAAAAGGCCGCAATATTCCTTAAGACTCTTCTCTGGGCATTGCCCTGCAGGAAATGGGGACAGAGGGCTGGGGCCGGGACCCCTTCGCAGCTTCTCTCCTCTTCCTCTTTGCCGCCGACTTCGCTCAGACACATATTTCCACTGGCCACAGGTGGCAGCTCGCTGCCCTGGGGAGCCCCGGCCCCAGCCGCAGGTCCGCTCTTGGGGCAGGAAGAAGCAAAGGGCATGGAATCGCCGTTGCAGACTGTGACCACCCGCAGGGTTCTGATGTCCTCGGAGAGCTTCTCGGGCTCTCGGTGAATGGACTCGATGATGAAGAGGTTCTGGATGTACTTCTCGAGCACCACCAGGATGGAGTAGGGCAGGTTGTACCAGGTGTACGGGGGGCGGGACTCGGCACAGAGGATGGCCAAGATGGAGCCCCAGGAGATGAGCCAGGAGCCGGAGGCAGTGCCCACCAGCAGGTCCGCGTCCAGTTTGCGGGCTGGGTTTTTGGACTCATCCAGGGACTGCTCATCTATCCTATAGATCCGGATCCCAACCAGCCCTGCCGCTGCCATGAGCATCAGCAAGACGATGGCGTAGAGGTAGAACATGATGAGGGCCGACTCGCTCTTGGTTTTGGAACGCCCGATCCGAATCAGATACACCACCACCACCCCGATGGTGGTGGCCAGTGCTGTCAGGCCCAGGACCGAGCCCGGCACAACCCCATGAAACCGGAAGCGCATCTCCTGGTGCTGGTGACTGTCCACTTGGCGCCCGACGTTCTTCCACAGGACGTAGAGCATTGTGGAGGCCAGGATCTGGTACTCTATGTTGAAAGGGTAGAGGTAGTAGATCCCCTGCGAGATGGCAGAGCAGAGCGCCGGGGGCGTGCAGTTACACGGAGGCGTGTGGTCATCTAAGACTAGGGGACAGAGGCAGATCGCAAGGGAGGGCGATTAGCATATTCAGTGGCCACATGGCAAACCACAAAGAAATACCCTTCCTGTGGATGCACGCTTGGGTTTGCCTGCTGAGTTACAAGCTCGTGTGTTTTATGGCGTATTATCACATTTAATATTATGGCTAAATTGACAGCCAGGAATATCCCCCAAAGAGGACAATTACATGAATTACATCTTATCCAGACATCAGATTATTGTCCAGCCATTGAAAATCATATTGCAGAAATTTCCTGGACAACATAAAAGGATGTTCACAAGATGCTGTTGAACAAAAGCAGTTTCCCAAAGAGGACAGAGTATGAATTTGTTCTTCTAAATAGATACACAGGCAATACATAACTTTATGCAGATAGAGAGAGAGGCAGGCAGACAGAAAGAAATCTGGATGGGCATAAACATAAAATGGTTCTCTCTGGGTGGGGAAAATGGCAGGTGATTTTTTGTTTTTTTCAGTAAAGGAAATGTCTAGAATGTCTTTTTTCCCAGCTTTATTGAGATGTAACTGACATACGGCGCTGTAAGTTTACGGTGCACAGTGTGTCATTTTCCTCTAGATTTTGCTTTGTTGTATTTCCTAAACTTTCTATATGAATAGGATTTACATGTGTGATTTTTAAGGTATTTTTAAAAAATAACTTTGTGAGGGAAAACGTCCTGTCTCATCAGCAAAGATTTTCCTCTTGAGAACATCCGGAGCTAGCCAGTGTGGCATGAGCCGAAACCACCTTCCGGAAGACACTTGGCGATGGTGCCAAGGGCCGTTTCATAACTAGGAGGGGAAATTCTGTAAATTAATCATGAAATAAACAACAAAAGCCTTAAGGATGATATAAAGTCTCTGGCCTACGATTCCAATCTATTCTGAGGGAAAAGTCAAAAATATAATCAAAGCATTAGGTAAAATTTTGTTGTGCATAGGGCTTTTTTTTGTTTTGGTGTTTGGTTTTTTATTGTTGTTGTGGGTTTTTGAGAAAGAAAAACATCTTAATGTGCAACAGTTTAGAAAGTGTGAAGTGAGTTTTGATATCCCCTTACAATAGAATCGTAGGCAGCCATTAAAAGTTAAAATCAAGTTGTGTTTTAATGACACAAGAAAAATAATCATGTTACAATACAATGGGAAAAAAATAAGAACAAATTTTATATACAGAATTTTTAAATGCATATCACAACCTGGAACTCAGTTGTGAAATCAATTTAGAGAGAAGCAATCAATATTTTTTAATGGAATTGTAATGGAATAAAATGGGATTGAATGAATGGAATCAAATATAATAGAAATTTGAGAGTGTCTCTGATATAGTAAGATTATTATTTCTTGACATACACACATGCACATACATACAGGGACGTGTGCATTTGGGATGCAGTGTAAAATCTGTTTCTTATTGTAGGTTGTAGAAAAAAATTGAATATTTACAGTATAATCTCAACTATAAATAAATAAAAAGTAACTCTCTACCAAAAATCACTAGATGTTAACAGCATTTGACTGCACTCCTGGTTAGATGACACGGTGGATTTTTTTCTTTACACTTGGTAAAACAGTGGTTTTAATTTATGATATGCGTATACTACTTATAAAATCAGACGAAAGCTCTTTGTGGCAGCATTAATAGCTCTGTGGTAGCGCCTTTGCAGAACACAACAATGTTCAGTTCCTAAGGAGTTTCCCGCCACTTACAACCCAATACAATATGATGCAAAAGATAAGGGAAGAAATCAGAGGAAAACGTTCAGATTAACAGAATGTTAGTGCTGATGGAGTCCCTTTTTAAATAAATTAATCTCATCTCATCTTTCGCAGAGGTTTCTGAAGCCAGATTGCTAGGATTCAAATCCTGGCTCAATCACCTACTCACTGTGCAACCTTGGGTTACTTACTTAACTTTGTGGCTCAACGGCTTCATCTGTATGATGTGGTCATTGTCGCCTACCTCAGAGTACTGGGGCAGAATTTAATGTCCCAGCCACTCAAAAAATGCTTAATAAATTTCTGTTTTTGTTATCGTTGTCCTTGCTGTTACTGGTTTTGATACCAAGAGAGTGGCCATCCCAAGAGCGGGCTGCCAGCTGGGTTGGTGAAGACACATCGCATGCACCCCTGCTGTTGTCATTCCCACCCCACTGGCGAGGAAACGGGTTTAAAGTTCTCTCCGTGACTGCCCTGGCATTGAACAGAGTACAGAGATGCAGTACATGAAAGCTGGAAGGGCTCATGGAAAGTCCACAGTTCAGGTGCCCTCACTTTATGAATGAGAAAAGGAAGGCTCAGAGAGGTCAAATGGTTTCCAAAGGTCACACAGCTTGTACGTGATGGAAACAGGACCCAAACCTGAGACACCCTGTTCTAGTATACTGCTCCTTCCTCTACCTCTCCCCTCCCTGCCTTTTTCTCAACCCCAGTGTCCTAATAGAAAAGTGACAGATCACAAATGCTAAAGAACTTTGAAGGAAAGTAAAAAGATTAGCACTACAGGAACAGGCGAAATAAAGATGGAAAATGACCAGCCAGGCAGAGTTGAATAAAACCTTCAAATGAGCGAAAGCCAATTAACCGCAACATACCATTAGCCTTGTATGGATTTTTCAAAGCTACACTTTTAATAGAAAGTATTAGTAACAGAGGTTTCATTGAAAACACAAACAGAAAAAACCACCCATCTTCCACGGTTGTAGACAAAGACCTTCGTTTCCACACCAAACTGGACCGTGAGAAACGGCGCTCAAAATGACGGCCCTTGGGTCTGACACGTCCCTGAGTTGTGGGAGAAACCTTTCATTATGCTCAGGGCACCCTACTTAAGGAGGCAGAACGAGAGACTTGGGAGGTTTTGAAAGATTTTCAACAACAGAGGATTGTCTGGCTGATGTTGAGCTGGACGGACCCTGAAACCCGTCCCTCCAGCTCTGAACAGTCTGGTCTCTGCAGGTTCCCAGACGTTCCGACGTGGCGGCGGGGCCGCCGCGACCACTCACCTATGGTTATGTTCCCGAAGCCCAGGGTGATGAGCCGTTCCTTGTGCTCGTTGAGTTGGTGCTTTGACTCATTCAGGACGCTGTTGGCCCACAGAAGCAGGTTGGTAAACACCGAGTGGATCACCCCAAACCTGAAAAACACAAGGATTTATTTCTGGAGCAGCCCTGGGAAGCTCCAAGCCCCTTGGGGTGAGATAGAGACATTAAACACATGCGCGCGCGCACACACACACACACACACACATGCCTCCTTCTTAGCCGTGATTGTGGTTTTGTCTGGCAGCTCAGGCTCTGGGTGGGTCCCCTCCCTGCCTGCCTGGGACAAGCAGTTCTCTGGAAATTTCCAAAACCACAGTCTTGGCACTCGACCTTAATCTTGAACTTGCCAGTGTTCAACTCATTGTCTATGGGACAAAAATGTACTGGGTCTTGGAAACAGGGATACAGGCATGGAAGTTTCCTCAAAGCAGGCTACCAACCCCACCATACCCTAAACCCTTTCTCCCAGAAAGGAAGAGGAGAGAACAATGAAGAAAAGATGAAAGGGCTACACTGAGAATCTGGAGAGTTGGGTGCACCCTTACTGTCGGTTGGCCAACCTCATGATTATTATCCACCCCCTCAGTCTTACCAGTTACTTCTGAAGACACCAAAACAAACCAGAGACACACTATCTGGTCTCCTTGCAGTTAGGCATGGCCATTCTGACCAGTAAGGTGAAATCTGCTGTGAACTACTGAAAAGCTTTTGCTTTCTTGATGAAAGAGGTAAGAATGAGAAAAGCCTATTTACTGTGCTTCTCCCCATTTTTTCCAGCCTTGAACGTAGACGTGAAGGCTGGAGTTGTGGCAGCTACCTTGTGACCACAAAGCAACCAGCATGGGATGAAACCCTCACCACTGAGGATGGCAGAGTGGAAACATAGAAAAAGCCTGTTCTGTGATGACACCGCGGAGATGCTGAAGTCTGATAGGCTCGGGAGTTAGGCCATAGTCACAGAGTAAGTAGCCACATTTGGCGTTTGAAAGTTAGCAAGCGACAACGTTGTTCTAGTCCGACCCCAGGGTTCTGTCCCTGCGTGTGTGCCACGCTACCTCTTGAGGAAGGAGAAAAAGAGTGACGTGGAGAGTGGACTCTGGACTGTGGGAAACAGAGGCGGGATCTGGGGAGATATCCAGTGAGGTTCGCTGTCTGTTTCAAACCTCCGAAGTCTCCCCATGGCTGCCAGCTGAGGACGTGTTCGCATCAGCAGCGTCCAGGGTACTTAACGAAGGGCCTTGCGTGGAGCAGGTGCAGCAAAGGCAGGTGATTTGAGAGACGCATTCCTTGAAACTTGTGTGTAACTGATCGCTTTCCAGCTGGAAAGCAGAGGCTGGAGGCTGCAAGCCCCTCCCTGTGTAACCAGGACACGCTTGTCCACCATCTGTCTGAGGGAAAATGGTGCAGCTGGGCACTCAACCCTGACCCTGCCTCTCCTCTGGATTTCAACCCCAGAAGACTCCTCTGGGGCTCCCATGAGCACCCGCAGGCAAAGCCGTTCCTCGTTTGAATTCTAGCTTCCTTTGGCCACTTCCCAATGTCCAGGCACAAGTGGAGGAGGAAACGGCCACCTGCGGCGGGGGCGGGTCTGAGTCAGGCGCTTACCCGTCTTCTTGCGCCTGGCGCTTGCCCAGTTACTATAGATGGTGGCCAGCCTCCCCTGGGGCATCGGGGAGGCATTGTATAGAGCCTTTGACAAACGCAGACAATGCTGTTTGCCTCAGGCCGGCTGGCTTTTCTTTTACTTATAATGCACACAGCTCCCCCTTTCTTCTCTTTCCTGCTCCAAACGGAGCTGTCTAATCCCAGACCCTCTGCACCCAGGCAGGTGAGACCGCTGCCGCCCGCAGCTGCCGCCCGTTCTGCCACGCATGCTCCCCGCGAGCTGGCGGCCTCCTGTGGGTTGGAGCTGGAAGCTGTCCTGCCAACTAAAGGCAGGCATCTCTTCCTCATGCCAGACTGCCTCTCTCCTACTTGGATCCCATAACCCCAGAGCACAATCAAGAGAAGGCTTTCGTGAGACATCGCTGACCTCATTTTTTTTGTATCCAGCCCTCCTTTTGGAACTCCTGTTCCTCTAAACTTCACTCTTGAGAAAAGAAAAGGACTCAAGCCAGTAAAGGGACTTCTCACTTCAGGAGAAAAGTCCCTGTAGGTACTAAAAGCATGGATACTGGAATATTGGCTAGAAAGACAAGAAGAAAAGAGTAAGTCCAGGAGTGGTGAGTTCTGAAAGCTCCAGGGCCTGGCAGACAACATCAGTGAATGAAGTGGGTGACATTAGGGAGTGGTGGGGACTGTAGCTAAATAAGGGGCCAGTCTCTATCTGGAGGGAACAATTCCAACTCTAGCTCTTTGTTGCCAGGCACATGTGGGATGGTCAAATCTTCCAATTTTTTTAAGGGAAGTCTAATTCTAAAATCTAAAGGAGGTAAGTAACTCAAAAATGGTTAACACTTTGCCTAACAATCAAAACAGGCTAAATCAAGCTATAAGCATAGCAGGTTCAAACCACTCACTGTCCAGTTTAGGAAAGAGGCCCAGAGACAGAGAGCAACTTGTCTCCAATCACTCAACAAGCAAGGTCAAGGCAGGACTATGTCCCAGTCCTTCATGGTTCCCTCAGATGAAAAGTTCTCATGGGAAATGTCTAGGTACATGACTTAGGGCAGCACTGTTCCAAAAAAGATAATGCAAGACACTGATGCAAGCCACATATGTCATTTTCCGTTTCCTAGTAGCCACATTAAAAGAATAGCAAAAAGGGACAGGCGAAAATAATTTTAATCATATTTTGTTAAACCCAATATATTGAACATATCATGATGTCAACATATAATCAATACTAAAACAGTTATCACTGAGATATTTTACATTCTGTTTTCTTATTTTAATCTCCAAAACCCGGTGTTTCATGTACACTTATGGCACATCTCAGTGCAAACCAGCCACAGTTCAAGTGCTCCATAGCCACGTGTGGCTGGTGGCTGCTATATCGGACAGCACAGACCTAGAAAGCAAGCCAAAGGTCCTTTTCTGCATAGAGGGAAATGGGCCCAAGTGTCCTTGAGGCTATGATTAAATAGTGACTAAAGCAAAGAGAAAGACTTCACCCAGCAAACCCCGCTGGCCACCTCAGCCACTGCGATGCCATGGAAATAGCCGTGGACTTAAAGTCAACATTCAGGTCCCATCCAGTGATGCCCAAGTGAGCTGCCTGACCTTGGACCTTTGCTTCATTCCTCAGTTTCCTCATCTGCTAAGTGGAATCACGATCATACCTACTGCCTCTAACTGACAGGGTTAGAGAGGTTCTCATGAGTAATACGTGTAAAAGAAAATGCGTTATGAACGGGAAAGCCCACAGACTCAGCCAGGAGTTCCTGGGGACGACAGGCTGCCCAATCTGCATTTGCTGAAAACATCTCACCCTTTATGCCAGCAATTCTACTTGTAGGAATTTAAGCTAAGAAAATAATCAGAGCTGTCCAAAAATATTTTTCATTGAAAAATATTCATTAGAGCACAATTTATAACAACAACAAAAGCTTTCAGACAAATTAGATGTCCAACAAGAGGTGTATGGACTGGATGTGTCCCCTCAAAACTTACATGCTGAAGACCCACCCCCAATGTGACTGTGTCGGGTAGTTAGATAAGCGGGGCGCGGGGCAGCTAAGGTGTGGGAGGGGGAGCATGGCCCGGAAGATGGCGGTTTGCCTGCTGCGGCATAAAGGGGCTTTACTTCCTCCAAATGAGCGCCAGCAAGAAACCGGTTAGAACCCAATGGCTGCAACTGCACAGAAGTGACAGGGACCTAACTGGACAGGACCCAGTGCCCTTTGTAATGTAATTAGCATGGCGGTTTAGGCTCCCCCATGGGCTTTCCTATGTGCATCATGGGTAAGGACATGCACAAAAGGGGACGAGCATGACCAAGCACTCCAGGGGCAAGAGCTGTCAGTCAATCAAGAGACCACCTCTAAGCGAGGGTATAAGAGAAGGGGGCAAACAAAGACCACTGCCGCCGGCCCCTGGATCAGCCCGCCTCCTGTTCTTGGAGGGGTACTTTCCCTTTGCTAATAAACCCTTTAAAGTCTTTCAATACACAACGCTCCCGTCTCCCACCTGAATTCTTAACTTTCCAGTAAGACAAGAACTGGGATCTTTTTCCTTCCCCCTTTGGGGTAACAACTGTACTTAGAGACATTTAGGGTATAAATGGAAGTAACAAGGTTAAATGAGGTCATAACGGTGGGGCCCTGATCCAGTAGGACTGGCGTTCTTCTAAGAGGAGGAAGAGACACCAGAGAGCTCTCTCACTCTGCCCAGAGACAGCTTCACCAGAAACCAACCTGTCGGCACTTTGACCTTGAACTTGGAGCCTCTGTAACTGTGAGAAGATAAGTTTTTGTCGTTAAGTCCCCCAGCGTGTGGCCTGAGCTGACTAACACAACAAGGTACCGGTTCCATAAACCACAGCAATGGCAAAATGTGCAACCAGTAAAGATCACAGTGTAGAAAAAGACCAACGAGGGAGATGTTAACTACAAAAGGAAAAGGGGAAACAGAGCAAGAAGGGCAGGACCACAACTGTAAAAAGGAAAAAGAAAAAATACATATCTAGTCACAAAAAAAGACTGGAAGGAAACAGACCACAATGTAACTAGTTACCACTGGGTGGCAGCTGTCTCAGCTCTGGCTGCTAGAATAAAACAACAGGTGTTTATTTCTCACAGTTCCAGAGGCTCAAAGTCCAAGATCCAGGTGCACGTAGAGTTGATTTCTGGTGATGCTTCTCTTTGTGGCTGGCAGGCGGCTGCCTGTCACTGTGTCCTCACATGGCCTTTCCTCTGGGTGCTCTCGGAGAGAGAGAGCTCTCGTGTCTCTTCCTCTTCTAATCTAAGGGCACTAACGCCATTGTAGGGGCTGCACCCTCATGACCTCATGACCTATCACTTCCCAAAGGCACCACCTAATACCATCACGTTGGAGGTTAGGGCTTTAACATACGCATTTAGGGGCAGACACAAACATTCAGTCCATAACAATGGCATTATGGTGATTTTTAAATTCTATTATATCCTTACAAGTTTCATCAGGGGAAAAAAGTACATTTTTTAAAGAATGTCTCTGGAGTAGATGAAGCAAAGCCCATGTCCCAGAACAAAATCAGCAAGTTCTCTCCAAGCTGCGAGCAGAGCCCAGCCTCACTGATGGAAGGAGGGGGAAGAGCAGAGCCCAGCCTCACTGATGGAAGGAGGGGGAAGCAACACACACATACTCCTCACTGCCCAGCACATGAAATGGGAGAAACTGGATGGAAATTCCGGGCTGGCCACTTGTACTCTGGAGACCCAGGTAAGTTCCCTAACCTGCTGGAACCCACTGTCACACCATTTAACGCAGAGAAGCATAGTTACCGTAGTTACCCTGACAGAGCCCGGATTAAATGTGAGGACGGATGTGGAAGTCTTTGTCCTGCTCTAAGGGGCAAGTTAAGCTGCCTTTGCTAGATCCTTGGGGCCTGGACTTCATTTGTCCCTGACTTGTCCATTAGACCCCATTTGTCCATTTCTCTCCTCTAAGGGCAGAAGAATTGGCACCCACTTCCTGCCCCTCCTCTGCCAGGAGGCGTGGCTTCTCAAGTTAAGATTAGGGTTAAAAATGACTAGGGTTAGAGATCAGGCAGTATGGCTTCTCAAGTTAAGACTAGGGTTGAAGCCCAAGTCAAAGGCTTGGGCCGCACAGGCGAGACCGCAGGCTGCACACTCCCAGAATGATGCTCGGGATACCTCAGCCCATTACCACTGCACATCACCAGGCAGCAGGCTGTGCACACAGCAGGAGCTCAAGAGATGCATCACTTCTTGTTGAAGCTGATCCTTTTTGCATAATAAGTTTGGTGAAAGTTATTTCTAGTTCAATAGTCTATTAAAATAGTCCCAGCTGGTGGTTGTATACAATCTTTTAAATATTAGTTTTCATTTCAGATGGTCCTGGGGGAGTTTTCTGTTCCCCATTGACCGTTTCTACCATGAGGCATCTTTCTATAAAGCCAGTACTGATGACTTGCTTCCTCTGTATGTGAGCACACAGAGCTTCTTACACAATAACAATCCCTTGCATTTAGGTAACTCACTCCATTATCCTGCAGATTCTCTTCCTTGATCCTCACAATCATCGAGAGAGAGAGAGGTTGGACAGAGGTAATAATAGACCCCACACTTACTTCGTCCTTGTTCCGTGCCAGGCACAAGCTTTACACCAATGAGTTCCTTCAGTCCCCAGAGGTTGACTATGCTATTATCCCCATTTTGCAGAGGAGGAAAACTGAGGCTTATAAAGGGGGAGATGTCTAAGAGAGCAGAGCTGACATTCAACCCACGTCACCCTACTTCCAGGGCTGTCCTGGAAGAGACGGAAAGCAGAGGGTCCCCTCCCCCGGGCACGACTAAAGCTTTTGCTTGTCAGGATGGAGAGGAGAGTTGGTCCCATATTTAAAACCCAAGCAAGGTGGCTGTAATGAGTTCTGTTCATTCTAGATGAACACAAAATTCAACACATAAAGCAATCACCCACAAGTTTTACCTTTCCAGTGTTTTGAAAGATTGGATGATATCCTTTGCATGCCCCCAGAGAAAATACACCTAGATGAAAACAAAGGAAGAAAAGAACGATGCATCAGGAGGAAAACCATCACTGTTCTTACACACTTGAGACACTACAAGACTTAAGGGATGGGTGTGGGACACATTGGGAACGTCAGTGACCTCCAGCCCCAAAAACAGCAAGTCACTATCCACAGCTCAGCTGGCAGTGCCGTTCCCGGGGGAGACAGCGCTCCGGGGACACTGCTGTGAGAACCAGACAGAGGCCTCCAGGTGTCGGAGGAAGTGGTGCTGTGACTGATGCAGGTGTCTGCCATGGGCGGGGTTTGGGGAGGGGCAGCCCACCTGTCACAACCCCTGTTCACCTGTTCGTATCACCCATGTTGGGCTTCATTCGAGAAATATCCACTGAACAGGTACTATGCCAGTGGCCAGAAACCAAATTTCAAGTGCTTTAAATGAAGAACAGAATTGATTCATGCTGGGTTTTATTTTTAATTGAAGTAATTTACAATGTTGTGTTAGTGTCTGGTATATAACATAGTGATTCAGTTATACATATATATTCTTTTGCGTATTCTTTTTCATTATAGGTTATTACAAGCTATTGAATGTAGTTCCCTGTGCCACACAGTCTCTTATTTCACAGTCCCCCGGCTACAGGGTCACCAGAAGCAACTCAGGATGGGGGCTGAACACAACAGGGGCGGTATCGGACCCGTGTGCAAATCCTAGCTCCCTTGATCCTGGGTAAGTCTGTTTTCCCACCTGTGAAATGGGGATGATATGGAAGCTACCTTGGAGGGTGTTGTGAAAAGTGAAATACGATAAATCGTGTCAACTACTTGGAACAGCGCGTGGAGTGGGAACATTTTCAGTAAATCTGTCACCTGTCAGTTTACTCATTTGCGGACATCGGATGAGCACCCCGATGCCCTAGGCACCATCTGAGCTCCTAAAGCATTTGGGGCCTTAGTTGGACACAAAAACATGTTGAGCACCTACTATGTGCCAAACAGAGCTGAGCACTTTGTACAGTTGCCTTCATTCTGCAATTTAGTGCTTTAAAAAGAAAATCAGACAACACTCCACAAAAAGCACTTACACATCCCCTCTCCTCCACATTGTTTGACCTAAGGTCTTCTCTCCTGCCCTGAAAGCACTTTCAGGGCATGAGTCTTGAAACATCTGACAATTTTTTTAAACTTTTTTAAAAAAATTAAAGTATAGCTGATTTACAATATTGTGTTAGTTTCAGGTGTACAGCAAAGTGACTTGGTTATTTGTTTCCAGATTATTTTCCACTATAGGTTATTACAAGATATTGAACATATTTCCCTGTCCTCTATAGTAAATCCCTGTTGTTAACCTATTTTATGTATGGTGGTTTGTATCTGTTAATCCCATATTCCTGATTTATCCCTCCCCCACCTGCCTTTCCTCGTGGTAACTGTAAGTTTGTTTTCTATGTCTGTGAGTCTGTTTCTGTTTTATATACAATTCATTTGTATCATTCTTTTTAGATTCCACATATAAGTGATATCATGTAATGTTTGTCTTTCTCTTTCTTAATTCACTTGGTATGATAATCTCAAGGTCCATCCATGTTGCCACAAATGGCAGTATTTCATTCTTTTTATGGCTGAGTAATATTTCACTCTATATACATATCTCACCTCTTCTTTATCCATTCATCTATTGATGAACACTTGGGTTGCTTCCACATCTTGGCTCTTGTAACTAGTACTCTATGAACATTTGGGGTGCATCTATCTTTTGAAATTAGAGTTTTCACCTTTTCTGGATATATGCTCAGGAATGGACTTGTTGGATCATATGGTAGCCTTATTTTTAGTTTTTTAAGGAAATTTCGTACTGTTTTCCATAACAGCTGCACCAGTTTACATTCCCACTAATAATATAGGAGGGTTCCCTTCGCTCCACACCCTCTCCAGCATTTATTGTTTGTAGACTTTTTGACGATGGTCATTCTGATCAATGCAAGGTGATACCTCATTGTGATTTTGATTGGCATTTCTCTAATAATTAGGAAGAAACATCTGACAATTTACAAAACAGGTAGCAGTGGCTTCTGATGAAGATGACACTTAGCCTACCAATAGGGAAACAGTGGAGCAAGTTACTATTTATCCATGAATTCTAAGTTAGATGGCTACTTAACTAATGCTTTTATAAGGACTACATAGCAACACAAAATAAGTTTATGATTTTTTAAAGTGTAAAACTCTAAACAGAAAATTCTGCACCTTGCATGGAAAATATTGACAAGAATGTACACTTGAGTATAAAGAATGAAAGGAACACATAAAAACAACAAATATTTCAGTTGATGGACTTACAGGTGAATTTTTAGTCTCTTTTTCACTTTTTTCAGTAATGATATACTATATTTTTAAATTACTATATAATCCAGCAATCTCGCTTCTGGGTATATAGCCAAAAAGAATTGAAAGCAGGGTCTCAAAAAGGTATTTGTACCCCCATGTTCATGACAACGTTTTTCACAATGGCCAAAAGATGGAAGCAACCCGCATATTCATCAATGGATGGATAAACAAAATATGGCCCATCAATACAATGGAAGAGTATTCAGCCTTAAAAAGGAAGGAAATTCTGACACCTGTTACAATGTGAATGAACCCTGAGGACATGATGTTGAGTGAAACAGGCCCATCACAGAAGGAAATCCCATGATTCCACTTGTCTGATTCAGGGACAGAAAGTAATCAAATTCATAGAGACAGAAAATTGTATGATGGTTGCCAGGAGCTGGCGGTGGTAGGAATCAGGAGTTAGTGTTGAATGGGCACAGAATCTGATTTTTTGCAAAATGAAAGATTTCCAGAAGCTGGTTGCACGACAACGTGACTATACTTAGCTCTACTGAAACGCACACTTAAAAATGCTAAGATGGCAAATGTTATGTGTATTTTACCACAATCTAAAAATAAATCTATTTCTAAAAAATAGTATTTTTCACTTTCCCATCATCGAATGTAGCAAATGCATGTAGGGCGTGTCCAATAGGTATAGAAAGATGGATTGATTGACTGACTGATTGATACAATGCCTTAAATTAGGAAGAAAAGAGATCACCAGCGCACCAAGCAACGGAGTGATATTCTGAAAACTCAAATCTGTTCAGGCCATTCTTCTGCCTGGAGCCTTCAATGGCTCCCCATTGCCCTCAAGGTAAAGTTGAAGCTCCTAGGCGGCTGTCAGTCTAGACAAAGCACTCACTGCAAAATGCTTCAAACACATCAGCGCCTTCATCCTCACAACAACCCCACGGAGGAGGTGCTTTATAGATGAGACCCGATGAGGCCCAGAGAGGTTAAGTAATTTGCCCGAGGTCACACTGCTGGTATGAGCTAGAGCCAGGTCGTCTGACCTGAGTTCATGCTTATAAGCCCTACACTAAACCATGGCTCCAGTCCATGCCTCTTATCCCAGCTTACAGCCCCCTACAACTCACATGTCTTCTCATTTAGCCTTAATTCTCTCTGTCAAGACCGTCTCCAAACGCAGTCACATTCCGAGGTCCTGGAGGTTAGCACTTCAACATATGAATGTGGGGGACCCCATTCAGCCTGTAACAACTCTCCGAATGCAAGGTGACCCCTTCAAACCAGTCTCCCTGGAAGCTGCTGCCCAGTTCCACCAGGGCCCCCACAGAGGCCAGACGACGCAAGCCCGCCTGGCACAGCCCCCATGGAGCTTCACCTACGAGAATGTGTTTGACCTCAAGAAGCACCCTAAAGTCACCAAGACCCGGCAGGCAGTCACCTGTACAGAGGCGCACAGAGTGGAGACCACTTTTTATAAAGGACAGAGATTAAAAATGGCATCGTTGGTGTTTGGAGATGAGAAATTGGACCTGAAGGATGTTCCCAAACTGAGAATCCAGAAATATTTTGAGCAATAGCAGTACCACTGGACCAAGTCCATGATCTTCCGGGGTGACTTGCATGGAGAGGAATCGTGTCTTGACTGTGACCTTGGGCAAGTCATTTGTCCTCTCTGACCTCCAACTTCTTCCTTAGGATTGTGTGTGACAATCCAACAGCTGTTCCTGTGGAGTTGTTGGGAGCCTTACACAAAGTGATGAATGAAAAGTACTTTGCCTATTCTAAAGTCCTAGAGAAGTACTAAGTATTTCCTTTATTATTATCTCAACTCTGAGCGCCATCTCCAGGGATTTCTGGAAACTACACCGGAGGCCCATCTAAAATTTTTTTTTCAAACATGAGATTTTTCTGATTCTAAGCTATAGATTTAAATTATATATCAAATCCTCGCTTCTTAGCCAAACCATGTTGACCAATGCTGAGAAAGAACCTCTCATACATTTCTAAAGATTTTAATCCACAAGTAAGCAAACAAAAAAAGTGTTTCAGTGACTCAGAGGCATGACTGTAATGGCTCACAAAGTCTCTTGGGGGTGATGACAATGTTCTAAAATTGATCGTGGTGAGGATTACACAACCCTATGAAATGCTAACCCTCTGAATTGTACACTTTTAAATGAGTAAATTGTATGGCAGGTGAATTCTATCTCAATAAACTGTCATTAAAACTCCCCCAGGCCTTTTCCGTTTGTCTCTGACTTGGCAGAATTTCCCGACTCTTCATCAGTGTAAGTTCTGCTTCATAAGATTCCCCTTAAAATGGCCAAGAGGACACGCAGTCCCATTTTACAGCAGAGGCAGCTAAAAGGACTGAGCCTCGCCTCACACTTCCCCGCCAAGTATCCTGTTTTGCACACCCTGGGATACACTTAACAGAAACCAAGGCAACATAAGCAAAGACCACGTGGTTTACCTGCAACAGAGTGTGGACTGCATGTGTGACAGGGAAAACTCCTTCAGTGGCTGATAAACATTCAGAAAATCCAACGAAGTACCCAATTTTAAGGCATCCCAGGATGATGGTAATGGCTGCAAACAATGTGATGCTACCTAAATTAGGGGAACGGGTGTTAGAAACACACACGTAAGTGTTATTATGCACTGATATCATTTCAAAATAAATTATATTAAACCCTCACACGTAGGGTCAAATGATTTTTGACCAGGGTGCCAAGACAATTCAATGGGGAAAGGACATTTGTCTCAACAACCAGTGCTGGGAAACTGGGTATCCATATGTAAAATAATGAAGCTAGAGGGTAGGGGCGGAGCTCAGCAGTAAAGCGCATGCTTAGCATGCACAAAGTCCTGGGTTCAAGCCTCAGTACCTCCATTAAAAAAAACAAAAGGCAGGTGGGGGTACAGCTCAGCAGTAGAGCATGTGTGAGGTTCTGGGTTCAATCCCCAGTAGCTCTATTTAAAAAAAAATTTTTAATTGAAGCCCAATCAATTACGATGTGTCCATTTCTGTTGTACAGCACAATGTCCCAGTCATGCATATACATACATTCATCTTCATATAAAAAGATTTTAATGAAATAAAATTTATTTTTTAAAAATGAAGCTGGACCCTTACTTTACAGTATATTCAAAAATTAACTCAAAAGGAGTCAAAGACTTCAAAGTAAAACCTAAAACTATAAAACTCTTAGAAGAAAACATAAGG